TTGATCTCAAAATTTTGTTAAAGTTGGTTATATGTTTAGGAGAAGTGGGACAAATACAAACTTATACGCCGTATCAGGAACAGAAACTCCATTAGTTCACGTCACATGCAACTGGAAAATGCACTTTGATAACTTCTAAAGATCGCAGTAACAGAAGGATTCGATATTTTGGACCGGACGCGATTGTATTTACACGATTGATTCGCGTTTTCAGCGTTGACCATTTGCCCCGCGCAGAAAACGAGATTATCTCAAATGCTGTTCGCATTGGTAGTTGCGTAATAATTGGTTTATTACGGGCGCAATTAGACCGGCTGAATGCTTATCTTGTTATCCCTCATTGTATTGCAAATTCCACTTTGCGCCACGTCGACGTGCAACAATGCACATGCCGTATTGGTCGTGACATTTATGACGGATCTGTCAAACCGTGCGCGTTGTTATTCTCACCACAAATTCATGTATAAATGTGTATATTTAACGGAGTTTCTCGGACGCCACGCGAGTAACGATGTTTTGAAATGTCGAATGAGTAACGGAGGATTAATTAATACTAATTATTATTATCTACAGAAAGAGTATACAATTTACGAAATGATTCCCATATTCAATCATTGCACTTAATAAAATTACGTTACATAAAATATATTAAAAAAAATCCATCATCTTGATAGATTTTCTCCCTTCTATTCAATCTTTTCAATATGAATCTTATCACCAAATAAGACCTGAAAGGAAAAAACAAAATGGGAAAAAATTCCTCAAAGTAAATGAAAACAAAATATCTCTCTATTAATCAAGTATTGAAATGTAAGCACTGCTTTCATATCTATTTTAATCTTATTTGGATGGAAAGTTTAACTGAAAATTTAATTGCCATAAGTGAGATTTTTATATGTATCGATATAACTATGAAGTAAGGTCGTAGTTTAATCAAATATTGAACGCTTCGAAATCTGTCTTAGGGTAAGCGGCTTTGGGCAGAAATCCAATTTGGTCTTTGGTACAGCGCGAGGTATTTTAATGTTCGGATTATGTAACTATGAAATGGTTCGAGGGGAAGTTCGCCTTCGATGTTTCGCTACCGCCTAGCGTAATTGCAGGAGGAAAACAGTAATTTGGATAATTTGGATGAGTCGCGAGTTTTCTTTGTTGCTCCTGGCAGCACTCGGTGAAGACAGGTGGATGTTAACACTTGAGGTACGTAGGAAAACGAGAACTACTCGGAGCCACAGGAAAATCCCAAAGTGTGGCCAACAACCTTATTTTTCTTCTCCTCATTCAACTACACAATATACCCTTTATTTCTACTGACATTATATGCGAAGTACTTACGTACTATGTCTATCTTATAACCAGCACTCGCCTCTTCTTACATAACTTTACCCGTTTTCTATTATAAACTAAAGCAGTCTGCTACATTCCACCGTTAAACTTCCTTACAAATTTACGTACTTTCCTCTCGACGAAAGCGTGATTAATTGATGCCAAGAACACTTTGTATACGCGATTACAATTTGATACAAATAGTTTAACGATCATAATTTCAAAGAATCACCACAAATAATATAAAAGTGAAATAAATTTAAATGTGAAATTTTACAAATTGTAGTTAATATATCACAAAATTCTAAATCCTCGGTCTCAAATATGAGTGCGATTAGCACTTGCATAATAGATAAGAAAATGAAGGCGACTTTATATGGCTAAGAAAACACGACACATCTACGCCTCATTTGGTCACGAAATATTTTATTGTTATTAAACTATTATTAGTTTTGTTTAATTTTTAGTTGAAACGAAGATAATCTTCGAACAACTGCATTTCAGTTGAACATCTGAATTAACATTTGCGTTTTCAATGAACACCTGCGTGAACACCTGTTTTGGGCGTTTTGCTTCAAATATATTGAAAAACAAAACTATTTTTAAATATAAAATTTTATTTTTTATATACCAAAAGTATAAATTTTAATATATTTTTGTAATTATATATACATATATATTTTACAAATTGCAATAATATTAAGATATTTATTACATGTCTTATTATAAATCTAAGCTTTAATTATAGAAAAAAAAAACATGTGAGAGATTATAGGATTATTTCGGTTGCGATTTAAATGGGATTAGAATGGGGGATATTGTGTAATCGTTATCTGTGATCTAGCAAGAAGCAAGAAACGCCGGTATCGCCTTTCTGAAAATGAGTTTCGTTAGTGGCTAAAAAGCAACTTTTCTAACTCACATAAATTCCGAGGTAGAGCATATATCATCGGGATTAAATCGAAACGCCAAAGAAGTTTCGTGTGTGTTCACGCTTAATGTTAGAAACCTTCGAAAGTTATGATTATTATATCATTAGAGAGATATTGCGAGAGGAACAATCGTTAAAGCTGGAAACTGTCCGCAGTTTTCGAATCGAATTTTAATAACGCAGTTCTCGATCGGTGAATAGAATTTAATTAAAATTGTTTCCTTTATACGTTTAAAATCTTTAGCATTAACAAAAGCGATCAGTTCGTATTTGTATCTTCATTTTTTTTACAATTTTTCATTTTCATCGGTTATTGACGTTCCTTCTAAATCAGTTCTCGTATAAACAATGCCCTACGCTCCGTCGGTTGCATGAATGACAGTGTTTTGCAGCAAATGGGTCAACTCGTACACGTGTGTATCGTCCTTTGCATTTCCTTTATTTATTCACTGAATGGAAATGTCATCGTTCTGCAGTTTAATAAACTCTGTACGAGAGAGAATGGACGTTTGTATTTGGCGCGGAAATTGGCCGAGAAGAACGGATGCGTTTAAAGGAGTGAGTATTAAAGGTGATGGCTCGACGGAGGAGAAGACATGCAGGTCATACATTGGAAATGATATTGATCACCTCTGCTTCGGAGGGTCTCTGAAGAAGCCGTAAAAAGTTCGCGTGTAAAGTGGACAGGCCACTCGATACACCCATTGTCTGGGCTGGAAAAGAGGGATACAAAAAAGGAACAAAGAAAGAGAACTTTGATGCGAGGATGAGAAATCCTCGAACGGCAAAAGACGTAAATTGAAAACCTAACAATTAACAATTTCAAAGCTTACATTTTATTTTATTATTTTTCCTGTTTAAGACTGCAGCAATTAGCGAGATTAAACTTTTACGCGAAACGTTGTTTGCAACTTTAAAAACTGTATTAAACTACAAACATAATTTAATTGGGATTAAAAAACTTCTATTCAAGATTCTTAAAGTAAGTAAATAATAAAAGGTGATTTCATCAGGATTTATTTATCTTATTTCGTACTTTTCATTGTTATAGATTTGGAAAGTTGGCAAATAATACATTTGTGCATACAATTTCCTGTTTAAAGGATATGACATATATCCGCCGTTCGTCCGCAAAAGAGTTAATTACTTAAAAGTGGTTCGTACCAAAATTGAAATATTGATTTATATTTCCATTAAAAATTTGTAGAGTAATATCTCATATAGTGCGGATTCAATATAATACGGATTTACTGTTGGTAAATTAATTACTTAAAGTAAAATAATATCTGATAATATAAATTAATAATTTGCAATTTTGTGAAAACAAAGGCTTACATATATTTAATTAATGTTACTTTAATACGAAAGCAGCTGGAAAAAACGAGTAAATAATCAAGCGTGGACTTAATGAAACTAATTAGTTAATTAATAAAGTTTATTGGATTTAGAAAGGAATGTGTTGAGAATTCTCGTATCGTTTCGAACTCCATTAGCGTTATTAGCCACATCGTCTAACCCTTTCTCGTCGCCATCTATTGGTAACGAAAGAAACTAATTAGTTTGTTTCCGATTATTTTGCGTTCTGATCACGTTGTGCGATGTTTCCTGTATTTGCTTTTGCGTAGATATATTGATTTTGATAAATTTGCTGAGAAGTGAGTGTGTGTTTGCAATTTTCTTACCCGCGCTCCCAAATTGAATTTACACCCAATTAGTGCGGTAATGGGAAGTAATGGTCTCACAGCAATAGTTGAACAAACAATATTAATGGGTTATATAACTCATCTCAGTCGCGCCATCTCGCCACAGCACCACGCATTAAAATTACCGAATTGTGCTATAATTACGTTGTTTCTCTTCGAAATCTATCGATTTGTAAATATAAAAGAAGCAGAAACTGTGTTTGCTTAGGACAACCTTTTTGCTGAAATCAAGTGAATTGAGATATTGTCTCAAGCTTCAACTTTTTTTCTTATATAAGATTCAATTTTCCGAATGCTGTAATGCACTTACATACACACACTTTTGTATAAGTAGTATTATTATGGTTAAAGAATATGACGGATATATCCGCCGTTCGTCCACGAAGATTTAATTTATTTCGATCTTATATATGTTACTGCAGAAAGTATTATTTGCTTTCTTGTGATTAGAAATCAAGAAACTTTGAATTATAATAGTGAAACGTGTTTAAAGTACCAACTGCAGCTGTAGATGGCAGCACAATTTTGATGTGTCAAGTCTTATAAACAAATTTTGTTTTTTTAGATTTGATTTGCTTATTTTTGTGTTACTTTTAAATGAGTTTGAATCGTTTATTTAATCGTATAAATGCGGTAAAAGTTTCGAAATTGCGTTTGACGCAATTTAATAGTTTGAATGGTTGCAGACAGAACGTTGTAATTTATGCATAACGGGAGGCCGTGTTTACAAAAGGGCGATGTTAAAAAGCGGCGTAATTAGTGTGAAAACCGGAAACTTGCAAATTAAAGCTTTCGTGTGTCAGTGCGGTAGATAAAATGTTTCGACTCGCTTAGCGAAATAATTAACCAGCAAGAAGTTAATTTACGAACTTTCCGACCGTAGCAGGAGGAGAAAATGGAATTGAGGGTGGTGGATGAAGATGAGGGTAGAGGGTGGTACCTGCCGTGCATACACCATTGGTATTCAAGGAACGTAAAGAGCTACGACCCAAAACCGACCCATCGGTGAGGGTTCGTTCGCAAAAGGATGAGGGACTCACCGGAACTCCACGAATCCCTGGTGCAGGAGTAGAGCCATGAAGTCGCCCGCCATGTCGTCTCGTTCTCCGGTAAGGAAGAAAATGCCGTCGTAAGCTTCCGGTCGCAGTTCGAGCGTCACCTGGACGTGCTTGTAGGCACCTCTCAGTGCTGGGAATGCCAACCAGCTCGACCCCGTGAACCTTGGCGAACGGATCTCCATTTCTGGAATTAAAACCGAATTAATAATAAACTACCCTTCATAATATTAAATAACTAACTTATGAATATCTCAATAGACAAGCAATTTAGTCAAGTAGAGGTATTTCATAAATTAACAACATTATTATAATAACAAAAGATGTATATGAAAACTGGTTGTTTGTGAAATGTACATTGCTGTAGTTTCATCTAATCAACGCTTGATAAAGCAGTGTTTCTAAATTTTAGAGATTTTTTAGAAAACTATAATAGCTGCATATGAAATTTGGATATTTGGGGAATATTCATACATTGCTGTGGTTTCATCTAATTAACGATTGATAAAGCAGTGTTTCCACATTTTAGAGATTTTGTCGGAAACTATAACAGACTGAATGAATCCAAAAGATGCATATGAAAACTGGAATTTAGCTAATAGTATTCTCACATTACTGTGGTTTTTACATTTTATTGATTTGCTCGGAAATTCTTCACATTATTATAATGAAAGACCAAAATCTTAAGAATTTTCTTTAATCATTCTGCGTCCTGAAGTATTCGTATAATTATATGAATAAATAAAATGAAAAGAATTGTGACGTTTTTCTTTTATAATTCTGTCATTATTAGAGAACGATCTAGTTAGATTGCGTAAATAAAATAACCAAATAACCAAATTACAAAATGCGTACTTTCCAATTGAAACAATATTGTGATTCCATCAAACAGTGAAAACGCAATACAAAGAACTCAATTTAATTGATCCAGAAACATGAGCGGAGCGACGGTAATTTGTGTAAAGCAGGTCCGTTTTATTCACCTATCCGTCGAATGAATCACGCTTATCCTCTGAAAAGCAAATATTTGTCACACCTAATTTACCTAATTGCGCTGGTGGCACAAACCAATTTCTGCAATAGTTTGCAGTGTTTCAGAGCACAAATCTACCGCATTTTCAACTGAACCTATTTCCAACAAAAACTACGACGTGTCTTTGTAGATTTAGTTTACAAACGTTTCTGCTAAATATTGACTAATATGCTATGAGAGTTAAACATTAGAGAAATGTTGTATTTCATATTAATAACTAACACTGTTTGAAAGGCCACGTCTAACTATGTTTGAGGGGACTTCGAGTAACACTGTTTGAGGCCCTCAACTAACACTGTTTGAAATACTTCGACTGATCATGTTTGGGGCCCACATCTAACACTATTTGGGGGACCTCGACTACTACTATTTAAGCCCTGTTTAGGACCCTCGACTATTACAGTTGGGATGCCCTGAACATAATTATAGAATCATAAAGAAATAAATAATTAACTGCTGTTCATCATAGGTTATTCCATATAATTGGATACAATTGAAGTGTATTGTTATTAGTGAAATTGTCGAATCATTGCATTAGTTTATTACGCTAATAATTATAATGGGAGAGTGTATAATATGCTTTACGTAATTTAATGCAAATTTGATGGTCGTATTAAAAGCAATTTGGTTGGATGAGCGAAGATTTATTGAGCTAATGCAAACTAACATTTATAAACAAAATTTATTACATAGTGTAGTAGATAATTATAACCTAAAATTAGTAGTTTCATAAAAGTTAGATTCATGTTGATAGAACTTGAAATATACAACTTTAATTAGGAATTTGATGATTATGAAATCTAAGATTTTGGATGATAATAGCAAACACAATTTCTTGTATCAACGAATGGAAAGAAAAGATGTAAAGTTTTGCTATTTTCACAATTGCTGTCGCATGACCAAACTCTATCCATTATCTTGCCGTGCATTTCCTAATCCAGGATCTAAATGCTACATACCTACAAGCAGCAAATGCGATGCATCAGATGATAGCATTAACGAGCACCGACTATGATTTTCCCGCACTCGAAATAACCGATTCGTATCTCATTCATATCGCAACGTTTACTACACGATTTAACTAATTTATTAAAACGTAAATTTTGTTCTATTTACATAAAGTTTGAATTCCGTTTGAAATTCCAAAGAAAACCGACGGTCATCTATACTAATTGTACCAAATCTGGGTCAAAATGACAACTAAAAAAGTTTATTTATTTCTTCAAATTAACATTAATTACATCAAATTTAAATAGAATTACTATAGAGCTATAAGTACAGTCTTATCTGTATCACCAAAGTAAACAGTTTCTATCATGCACGTGTATAATTGAGCTAATTTATTTCATAAAACGTAAATGAACTTTATTTACATCGACTGTTTGATATTAAGAGAATAAATATGGACAATTTTCCATCGGTCAAATTGACTGGTAAGCATATTTTTTCTTTGAAAATATTTTCTTTGAACCAAAGTTCAGTACTATTGGTATTAATATAGGAAAGTTAAAATATATGGGAATGAAGCTTTTGTTGATTTGCATTCGACGTGATTTAACATAAAAAAATAATATGCGAAATGTTTGATTGCCCATGTTGATGATGAAACTGAAATCTGTTTAAAACATGAATGCGCACTGCAGCATGCAAAGTTATGAATGTTTCAGTGTACGCTATTATACACAGTCTATGGTCGTTCATTTTTTTTAACTAACCCCATATTCAACCCTATATTTTTTTTCGGATTAATTGAAATTTTCGTTTACTGATCCACATTCTATCACAGCGACAACAAAAACATGGTCATCAAAGCAACAAAACAATTCATGTTTTTGTTTGCAATATTACAAAAAGAACAAAATGGAAACATCGACGATCAACTTTGATTCAGGAAAATTTGTTTTTGCCAATTTCATATTTTTTAAATGTGAAAGCTTGTGAATTAGGTGTAGCGAGTGAATGTAGTCATTTAGCATTATTTATTGCGTAAGATGTAATTATGAAATTCCTAACGGCAGAGGTGAGGGCGTGCTTTTCGGAATCCGGTGTTGGAATTTAAATCCGCGGCATCCACTAAATTTCCTCGGTCACGCCCAAAACTTTAATTAAACTGCATTTCATCGGGTTCTGCAACTTCTATTTATTTGTTTTAATTTTTTTTTTTGCATTCATATATTTCCTTAGCAAATTAATGCTTCTACCCTGGTCACAATTATCAGATGTTAACTACTTTTTAACATCATTAACAATATTTCTTATTGAATTATGATTCTTTTTATACATTTTTCTGAAATAATATTATAGGCAATAGGTTTCACTTAATTACTGAAAAACTAAGTAATTTATAAGTTATGTTTAAAATTACTGTTAAAGAAGAAACTAAAGAGAAAATACTGAACTAGTAATTACTTTCTTGGTATTCACGATTTTTGCGTAGTAAGCTTTAAAGTTTGAAGAAATTAATTTTGGTTGTGTCTTCACGTTTTATTTAAATGCTGGAAAACTAAGAAATTTAAATGATATATTAAATATGATTATTAAAAATGAAACTATAGAGAATATAATTAGTTATTAGTTATTTTCGTAGTATTAACAATTTTTGCGCTAGTTTACAAAATTAATAGTAGAAAAGATATTGAATATGTATGGCAAAATTTTCAATATTGCTATGAATATGTGCTTAACCTCATTAGGTATTAAAATGAGCTTAAGCTAAGAAGAAAAGAAAATTGAAAAAAAATGAATTGTCAACTGTCAATTCGATTATGACTAAATGATTACTGTTTAGAGATAACCGATAACTGTTATATTTCAAGTTTCTGTTGATTACTGAAGTTTAACAAGCGTTTTGAAAGTAATTTCCTCCGTCGAGCGACAAATTCTTGTACACATCGGTTATGGTTATCGATTCGTGCGGCTGAAGGGAAGTTGTTTAGCGTTTAAGCGATGAAATATTGAAAAACACAGTCAATTACATTTCCATTTCGTCTATGAATGCCAATCCGGGTACTCGGTCTGCCGTAATGAATGGTGCAGTCAACAGCACGGAAACAAAGTACGAGCGTGTTCAGTTCGTCCCTTCTCAACAAAACCACCCTTCGTGCCCGTCCACCCTCATCACTTCATCACCTCCAGCAAAATTTTACTTTAAAAATTACACGCAAACCACTCCGGAAAGTCAACAGACATTAACGACTTTTTTTTTGCATTCTTTACTTTTATCGTTTCTCCTTCGGTATTCATCCACTTGTCAGGAAGATAACTCGAGAGAGTTTAATTTCGACTAAATATGTATTATAATGGTATTAGATCAATGATAATAATGCCTACACATAAATAGCGCCATCTGTGTTTAAATTTAATACTAACAATACTTTGACGTTTCTCATCCATTACCAACTTTATTTTGTTTAAAAACTGAAAGGTTGTTGATTCGATTCCCAAAAACCCGAAATGTGGTAGAAATAGGACCGAAGAGATTTATATCAATAATAAGTTGATATAAATTGAAAAAATAAAAGAAACTGTACATGATACAAATGTATAAGGTTTGGATTACCACAATAATAACAAATTCTTACTTGTCGTCTTTAATATTTCCATGAAACTAATTCTACTTCTAGCCTAGTCTAGTCATAATTTTGATAGCATCAATTGATAAACTCTCTGTATATTTATTTATAAGTCATACCTCGATTAACGAATAGAGTACGTTCCACAAAATTACCTTGATAGATTAACTTATTTTCGTTTTCAGAGGTAAAAATATGGGGCTACGTTCCTCCATAAAGAAAAGAAAACCATTTTTTTCGATTTTATTAATAAGTGAAATCACATTTTTCATCACTTGCTGTATTACACACTTAACACTTACAAATATTTTTTTCATTACAAAAAAAATCTAGTACGATTTCTGCTCATATTTTGAATAATTGAGCTTGAAATAGCAGACTTATTTGCAAACTAATTTGTTTTTAATTATTGTTTTAATTAAACAAATCTGATCTTTAATCGAAACTAGTTACATTATTTAGAATTAATTGGTAAAATGTATGACTAATTTGCATTTAGGTGAATTCGCACGAGGTTTTGTATCTAGATCATATTACTACCGTATTCGTCTTGAAATAATTGCAGTTTCACTTTGAGTCTCT